TATCGTGTCGTTGAGACGTCTCAAAGGTCCTCTCACTTGCGAGGCGGGTGACCTAAACACAGGGCTTGAAGCAGAAAGCATCAATGCTTAATAGGACACTGGAAACATCTAAGAGGGAGGAGGGAATGGAGTGGATTAGGATGGATCAGAGCTCACATGGAGTATCAACAATGGCAAGGACTAGTTGGGCTGAATGGTCTATTTCAGTGCTGAACAGCCAATGTAATTCTATGTAAGACATAACAACAAAACAAATAATAAAAATAATAATAATAATCCTTGCATTTGATATAGCGCTTTTCACGTCGGGAGTGCTTCACAGAACACACTGTAAAGTGAATTGACTGTATATTTGTGGGCGAACGCGGCAGCCAATTGCGCACAGCAATGTCCCACAAACAGTCGCAGATTGAAAATGACCAATTTATTATTGTTTTGGTTTTGGAGGGATTATTATTAGGCTCTGTGTGGAGTAAGGAAACTTGCCCAAGGTTTCGCCCTCTGCCTGGAATTGAACTCAGGTCTCTCACTTGCAAAGCGAGTGCTCTAACCATTGAGCTACAGGACTCCACAAATGACATTTACCCAGCACCTTTCATGTCGGGAGGATGTCCCAAGCCAGGGATTTGGACCTGAGCAAGAGGTTGGGATTAGGAGGGGTGGAAGACAGAGAGGGGAAGAATAAGAGGATTACAGAAAGTGCGGTCGAAGAGGAGCATCTTCAGCCTGGCCTCGAAGGAGGCAAAGGAGCCAGCGAGGTGAAGGGACTGTGGGATGGAGCTCCAGAAAAAGCATATCGTACATTTTTCATTATTGCACAAATATGTTTTTTTTTAAAAAGTGGAAATACATAAATAAACATATGGAACCCATCTGTTCTGGTATTATTATGAGAGTGACCTAAAACAGACCTTATCTATGTTTGAATGCAGCCAAGCACAGCAGAAGTGGTTAAACCACAGTGGATGCAAAAATGCAACTATTGATCATTTCTTTAGAAAACTGTGCCAATGTCGATTTTTCGAGTTCCCATTTTATTTCAAAAAAGACCCATTAAGAGAGATAAAAGACTTGCAAACTTGCAGGTAAACAGATGAGGGCTGGTCCTTTGTCTCATTCCCCTTCCTCACACCTCTCCTCCCTCCGAAACACTGCCCCATGTGAAGGACGCTAGGAAACATAGGACCATAGGAACAGGAGTAGACCATTCAGTCCCTCAAACCTGTTCCACCATTCTGTTAGATAGATCATAGCTGATTTATCCTTCAACTGCAATTATTAATTCATTATTAATAATTAATTGTTGTTGTTCAGTGTAATGACCGGTTTTGATGGACTGCACGCCCTAGGAAAGACTAAACAATCCAACAAACATTGAAAGTTCTCAGGAAATCGCTATCAAGTGTAGTGACTTTATATTTACTGTTAATAGTAATTACCTTTACATTTGATGCAGCGCCTTTCACGTGAGAAGGACATCCCAAAGCGCTTCACAGGATGCAGGATACAGTGGCAAATTCAGGACAGGCACCAGGAAGTATTCCTTACCCAGAGTGCAATTAACGGCAGCAAATAATGATAAATAATAATCCTTAGCATTGAGTACAGTCATGTCAGGAGGATGCCCCAAAGTTGAGAATAGTTGAATGGGAGAAACTCCCTTCTCTTTTCACATAGTGTCTTGAGATTTTTGAAAGTCCATCTGAATATGGAACCTCGGTTTAACCTTCTATCAGTAACGGGAATTTCATCGCACTTCCCAGTTTGGGATTTGCCCTCCAACGTCATTCGATCCATTGGGTTTGATTCCCGGGCAGGGCGAAACCTTACACAAGTTTCCTTACTCCACAAGCCTCTGTTTACCCAACAGTAAGTAGGCACCCGGTTGTTAGTCGATTGGATTGCTTTCCTGGGATAATATAAATTCAAAATAAATAAATAATTTGGTCAGTCAATCCACGAGTGTTTGCGAGATACTGCTTTGCGCAATTTCAGGCACTACGTGAAACTTTGGAACTCCCTCCTTCAACCCCTTGGCCTCGCCCCCTCCTTCCCCATCTTCAGGTCGCTCCCGAAGACCTTCCGTTTCGACCGTCAATGGCTCCGCCATTGTTAAGCCCCCCCCCCGCGACGCCGACCGGAGTGGAGGGCGCTATATAAATGAAAGTTGTTATTGTATCCTGTGATGCCCTTTGAGACGTCTCAACGACCTGATAAAGCACTGTATCAAATGCCAGGATGATTCACAGCGGAGGGACAGAAACTCCAACGGGGTGTTAAAAAATTATTTATTCAAATGATTTAATCAATTTCTGCACTAATGGGAGAGATTTCATAACATAACTTGGCTCATTTCTTTATTAGATGTATGCATGACACATAGACAATCGCTGAAAATCTCTCAAGAAGCTATTATTCATTAAGGCTGACATTAAAATACTCCCACCCCACTGCACGCATATTCCAGACATACATGACCTCCGTGCTATGTGTTCAACTGAAATTGTAGCCAACAAAAGCCTATAAAATATACAGTCAATTCACTTTACAGTATATTCTTTCAAGTGCTTTGAGACGTCATGAAGACGCAAGTACAAGGATTATCATTATTATGATAAAATTGGGCACTCGCTGCATGGATGTTTGTGGGACGCTGCTGTGCACAAATTGGCTACCGCATTCCGCCCACAAAATACACAGTCAATCAACCTGACAGTGTATCCTGTGAAGCGCTTTGAGACGTCTCAACGACATGATATGGCGCTGTATCAAATTATACCGATTATTATTATTATTATTATCTGGAAACTCTCCTCTCTTTTCCAATTGCGCTGCGGGATATTTAACGTCCACCTGAACAGAGCACAGATGTGCAGCTCGGTTTAACGTCTCACCGATAGATGCACGTTAAAATTGTTTGCTTCGTTGCTTATCCCCAGGTAGGTATGAAGCATAATAACTTTACTGAAAGCAACAGTAGGATGTGACTCATGTGGTTCAGAGGTACACCAAGCAGCCAGTTCCACACAGGGTGGGGGAGAAAGAGAAGACGGAGGTGACTCACACCCTGACCCGAAGATTCGAGAGATATTGGCTGTGGGTAGAGAGTAGGCCAAACGACCTCCTTCTGAACCCTGGCACAGTGGACGCTAAATGCCGATGTATCGTTAACTAAGGACCAATGTTCTTGGTTTGATTTGGTTCAGAGCCGCAGGAAGAAATTCCAAATTATATTCAGAATAATGATTCCCGTATACTGTACTGTAAAGTGGATTGACTGCATACTTTGTGGGCGAAACACGGCAGCCAATTGCACACAGCAGCGTCCCACAAACAGTCATGGGATTGAGTGACCCTTTTTTTTTGAGGGATTATTACCCTCGGAAAGCGATCCACGAATCAACAAACAACCGGATTGCTACTTGCTGTTAGATAACCAGAGGCGTCTGGAGTAAGGAAACTTACTGAAGGTTTCGTCCTGCCTGGAAATTGAACCCAGGTCCTCTCGCTTGCGAGGCAAATACTCTATGCCACAATTCCACAATTAAGACTCAGTTTTCTGCCCAAAATGGCGCTCAGACAGTGCATGGAGGGGTGAGGGGTGGAAATGCAATGAGTAATGTGATAACTAGCACATTCTAAAGTCGGACCTTGCTATACTCTGCCATATGAGGAATTATTATCGCTCCTCATGGTGCCACGTGAATCAGTCGCTGTCTTAAAGTGACGGGAATGCACTAGCTTCCTGGCGACTTGGAATAATTATCCCATTCCAAGCTGCATTTTAATCCCCTCCCACTCCCGACAACACTAGGAAACGGATCTCCTCCCAGCACAGCGCTAACTTGAGTGATAAAGGTCCCTGGTTGCTTTAGAAATGAACGCTTAAAACGCAGCCTGCGTTTAAACAGAGGAGCAACATATATTCTTCTTTGAACATAAGAACATAAGAATTGCTAGGCAAAAAGAAACCTAATGGCCATCCAGTTTGCCTTCCACCATCCTGCCAGTCACATGCACATGTCCCCATATCCCCATATTGGCCTGTCCGCTCCCTCTGCTCAGCACTCTCTGGCCCGCCCGGCCCATCCCACCATCGGCAGTCAGCCTCGCTGCTCCCAACCTTTGGAAGTCCATCCCACATTCCCTCCGCCTTGCCCCCTCCCTTGACCTGTTCAAGGCCCATCTCAAGACCCCTTTCCCCGTTGAACTGTGCCTTCGGCCACCCTCCTACTTCCCTGTCCTCCAGCCTTCCTGATCCCAAATCCCCCAGCTCGGGACCAAATCCCTGACTGTCCAGCACCTTGGGACATCAAAGGCGCTGTACAAGTGTAATTTTGTATTGTGTTTTGTATTGTAAGTCATGTCCTAAACTGTATACTGTACCCTGAGATATTATTTCCCAACAGAAATCCATCTAATTTGTCCTTGAAAGAATCTACACTTTCTGCTTTCACTGTCTATCTTCCGAGGAAGCCTGTTCCACATATTTACTACTTGCTCACTGAAGTAGTGTTTCTCTAGATATGTTCTGAATTTACCCCCTTCAATTGCAGGCTGTGTCCTCTGCTTCTATTGCTTAGTACAAGATACAAACAGTTTATCACAGTCTACATTGTGTAGTCCCTTTAGAAACTTAAAGACCGTAATCATATTGCCCTTCAACTTGGAAAAAGTCTCCATAACGGAGGTTGGCCACAGTTCGAGAATGAAGTTGACTTTAACGCTTTTCACTTTGCGACCGCTGTCCTTTTGTTTTCCAGGTCAAAGACAGGATGAACTAAAACTCAAGAGAAAAAAAAATGTGAGCCCAGCAGGTGTTTCCTACAGCTTATGGCACACAGCGAACTTTCAATGGGTCTTCGGTCAGTCGCTGAACATTTTGTGTGCGCGTTGATATAAAAATAAGTTACCAAGACAAGCCTCGCTTTAAAAAGTAAGGGTGTGCAGTCATTAAACCTGTAATATAGTAGTTCTGTGTTCTGCTAATATCTTCCAGAGCCCGTAGTGGAGGGCAAGTTCAGCCCGGCTTTGCCTGTAGTGAGGGAAAAATACTGCCACACAACTGTCATACGGCTCACTAACCTGTGGTCGGAGCAAACATACGTAATGACATCAGCGACTAGACATGTTCCATTGTAGCACTCTGTAAGAAGTTAGCGATGTCAACCCTGTTCTAGATCAGAAAGGCGAGAGAGAGAGAGAGAGTGAAAGGTTACAGCATGACACACAGAATGCACTGGCCAAAATGTAAGTACTGATTGTCATTTCTCTGGGGCGCACTACCATTACTGTTGATTTAAGATGTCTTGCTTATCAGTGAAGTGCTCATTAAGGGTCGGTAATAAGAAACGTATCAATTTTGATTAAGAAAGCAAGTACTGGGATGACTGTTTCAATATTGAATCGTACTGTACAGTGATGTTATGTGGCCCGGAAATAATCATTTTAATAATTTGAAACTCAGAAAGAATCATAGAGATTATCCCTCTTAAATATTTTAAGTGGCCTCTGATTATATGGGCTAATCACTGGTTTATACTGCACAACCACATGTTTAAATTGAAATGATGGGCTTGAAATGTGCAATTTGAAATTTCCTTAACTTGTTCTATGTGATCATTAATTATAATAATAGTAATAATGATAATATTACCTTGAGGTAGTACATTTTCAGATTATTCAGGTATTTGATGTATTATCTTGAAAGTGTACTTCTATAATTTCCTATATCAGTATTGAAAATCTCCAGTGTATTGGCTGCAACATCACTGTGAAGTGCTTTGTAATGTCTCAAAGACATGATGAGGCGCTGTATCAAATGCAAGGATTATTATTATTATTAATAATACATTTCACCCTGATAATATCCATGTTGTAAAAGTGACTTTTCACAGCTTCTTAAGTAATAATAATAATAATAATCCTTGCATTTGATACAGCGCCTCATCATGTCTTTGAGACATTACAAAGCACTTCACAGAATACACTGTAAAGTGAATTGACTGTGTAGTTGGTGTGTAAAACATTTGTATATCTCGCTTTGCTGAGCACTCTCTCTACTGCTTACGAATATAAGTTGTGGTGCTGCATATTTCTTTATTGAGGCTTTGGGTGTTGTTTAAACTTCTGCTAAGTCGTGGCCCAGCTGTGAAAAGGAATGAGCATGGAAGGAGCATGGTGGCTGAGTCATTTCGGACTCAGTTACTTGAGGGAAGTGCATTGTAGTCGGATTTGATTGTGAGGAAGTTGTCTGTTTAAATCAGTGCCTTATAATTCTGTGAGAGATGCTCACCCTCTCTGGGGCAGACCGTCGTGGGTTCAAGCCCCCACACCAGGAATTTTGAGCTTACAGTCTAGGCTGACGCTCCAATACAGTGCGGATTAAGATTATCGGATGGGAGGTTAAGACAAGATCCCATCTCCACCCTGTTCAGGTGAAAGTTAAAGACCTCATACTGGAAAAGGGAAGGGAGTTTCACCTGGTGTCTTGGCCAAGAAACCTACATATTAATCGCTCATTCACATTTTGGCTGTGTGTGGTGAGACTTTGCTGTGTGTATATAATATAATATCTAATATAATATAATAATATCATTTGGGGAGGACAAGTTTTTTATGTATTTTACTTTGTCTTGAGTTCATGTACCATTGTTTGGATACCCCCAAACAATTAGATTGCATTCTCTCAATGGACAACTTTCCCCCACGCTTTGAATTTCCTCCCACTGTTGATTCAGAGCATTTTCTAACAAAATTTGGCTTGAACTAGATTGACTGTGGCTTTTACAATAATACAATAATAATAACTCTTGCATTTGATATAGATTATATGTAAAGTGTAGTGACTGTATATTTTGTGGCAGCTGATTGCGTACAGCATCCCACAAACAGGATGGAGCAACCAAATAATTATTATTATTATTATTATTTTTTTTACAAGCCAAGCAAGCGAGAGGGTGTTTTAAAAAGGCACAAATGTTACACACCAAAACGTAGAGAATGGGGTTTTAGTCAAATGGAAATGTTATTTTATGCACAAGATTTTTCGAATGCTAAGTGGAATATCCACCACTTTACAATATGTCATATTGATTATCAGATGAACAAAGACCATAGTTAAACAGTTCCATTGTGGGATTTTAATATTACTTTTTTCCTTTGGTGTGTGAGTAAGGCCTGATCAGTGAAAGTGCCCACTATTTAACATAGCAATCAAATATTCTGGTGCTGTGAATTTCCATTCTCTGTTTCCAATCGATGTTAAATTATTTTCCTAAAGCTTATACCGGTATTGGAAAAAACCATAATTCAGATTTTAAAAAATCACGATTTAGGCAATTTAATAAAATTGCTAAAGGCCTGGACGCAATTCTATTTGACCTGAGTTCCTGACATGAACTGAGCTCTGTGCTGGTGCTGAATGGATTCTAAATGGTTAGAGACCAAAGTAGGATGAGGATGTTTGAATAGACATAGTAGTCTTTGGTGACAGAGGACTGCTGTACACAATTGACTGTCGTGTTTCAGCCACAAAATATGGCTGAAGGCTGAAGAATATTCTGTGAAGGGCTTGAGAAGTCCCGAAGACGTGATAAGCCGCTGCCACAAATGCAAGGATTATTATGGTAATAAGGAAACCACGCAGAGATACTGTGCTGATTTTTTTTAACTGTTCTACAATAGAACATCTTTTTTTTTCAAGTATCAATTCTGACTTTTGTTCTTAAAAAATGGGTGATAATAACCCTGAACTTACCTTGAATTTACAAGACATTGACTAAAGCAAGTGAGACCCTGATTATCTTTCTTTCCAACCACCTCGCTCACTCCCTCCCTCCATCTATCCATCCATCCATCCATCCATTACTCCATCCATCTCCTCCTCCCTGCCAAAGGAACTTGCCTGAAGTGAGGTCAGAGATAGTCTCTCTCCTGATGTTATTTCTCCTCTCTGCTCTCCTCATGTGTCTAAACTCATCCCACTGTGACAGCCACAAACTGGACACTTACATGTGGAAATTCCTGACCAATAATCCATGTCACATCCTTCCTGTAAAAACACTTTACTGTGAAATAATCCTGTGAAGCACTTTACTGTGAAATAATCCTGTGAGACTCTTCGATGACCTGATAAGGTGCCATACCAAATGCAAGCATTATTATTATTATTTTTTATTTGGATCAGATGATATTATAAAATAATAAAAATGAACCAGGGTGGTTTGTAACCAGCATCAGATTATTGGGTTGAATTTATTCCTGTGGATCTTGTCTTGAAACGCAGTTGGTGGGAATTGGTTTGAGATTTTTTATCGTCCAGAGGACCTGGGTTCACTTCCCAGGGAGGGCGAAACCTTTGGCAAGTTTCGCCCACAGAATATGCAGTATATTCTGTGAAGCGCTTTTGAGACGTCTCAACGACATGATAAAGCTCTATATCAAATGCAAGAAATATTATTATTATGATAAATGGTTACTGGGTGTGTTGAAATTGACTCTCAACCAGCTGTATTGAAAAGCTGTCACTCCGATGGCTATAATCAGGTTCGAAAACTAAAACTGAACTCAATACTGCACTGCAAAAACATGAAACTCATAACTATAAGCGAGCCAGCAGCAGATCTAATGTGGAATTTAGTAGGAACTTCTTCACGGTGGTGAGAATCTGGAACTCACTGCCCGGAAGCTATGGTTGAAGCAGAGAACATCAATGTATTTATGAGGGAGCCTGATGGGTACATGTGGGAGAGAGGAATAGGAGGGTGGAAGCTTATGTGGAAGATAAAGATCGGCATGGACTAGTTGGGCCTGTTTTCATGCAGCGACAGGAACTCTATGAAATGCCAAACAAGGTGTGGTGCAATTTGGGAATATTAGTGTTGAGAACAAAGATGTTTCTGCACAGGCAAAACGGAATCCTTCCTATGATCTTGTGAAATTCTCCACTGGACCCATCTACTCTAATAGGAACATAGGAACAGGATTAGGTCATTCAGACCTTCGAGCCTGTTCCACCATTGTATTAGATCATGGCTGATCTATAGCTCAACTCCAATTATCTGCCTTTGCCCCAAATGCCTTTATACCCTGACCTAACAAATTTCTATCCACCTTGGTCTAGAAAAATGGAATGGATTCAGCATCCACTGCCTCCTGGAGGAGAGAGTCCCAGGTTTAATCTTGTGTCCGTACTCGAAAACCGATATATTTCTATCCGTCATCTGCCTATTCAATTCCATTTTAATGGTCTTTGTTGACTAGGTTTCGGCAGTCATTTGTGGTATCAACGCTCACATCCTAGTAACTTGTTGAATGAAAATAATTAGCTCCTATACATATCCTGAGGAATGATATGATGCCAGTGGACTTATATACATGTCTTGAGTAAGTTATGGGTTTGGAGATGTACTAGACATGTACTTGTTGTATTTCAGCAATAGTTAATGCACCTGAAAATATAATAGTGATAATTCTGCATATGATTCAATGCCTTTAACATCAGAGGACATCTCACAGGGCTTCCCAGGATTTAGGGCAACCCGTAATTTTTAAGATTCTGATAATAATTGTTTCGGCCACAAAATATACAGTCATTCCACTTTACGTTATATTCTGTGAAGGCTCTATATCAAATGCAATGATTATTATTATTATAAACCTTACATTAATAATCATTACAGATTGCACAGAATTGTGAAAATTTTTAATTTGGAAACTGATTCTTAGTAAAAACTGCAGAAACTGTTTGCCAAATTGAGATTGAGAAAAATATTAATACTGAACGTTAAGGTATTTTTCTGCGCAATCTTAAATTTTAATACAAAATGGTTAATCCTTTGCCTCCTTCAAGGTTCTTCTTAAGACCCTCCTCTTCAACTGCAGCTTCACTTAACCCTCCCTGCCCTCCACCCCTCCTGATCCCAATCCCCAGTTCGGGTCCAAATCCCTGACTGTCCAGCGCCCTGGGAGGTCCTCCCGACATGAAAGGCGCCGTGTAAATGTCATTTGTTGTTGTTGTGTTACAGGCTTAGACTATGTGATGTTTTGGGCCTTAATAATAATGATGATATAGCACCTTATCACGTCTGCTAGACGTCTAAAAGCGCTTCACAGAGTTCACTGTAAAATGAATTGAGCAAAACATGGAGGCCAATTATGCGCAGCAGTCCCGCAAACAATCGTGGATTAAGTGACCAAATTATGATTTTTTTAATTATGTATTACATGTATTAAAGAATTTATTTAAT